CTTCAGACAGGGATTGGACTGGACTGTGGGACATAAAGTGATACTCATGAGGAGTGTGCCAAGCTCAAGTAGATACAAGAGACTAAATGGGTAGCTTCTGTCCGGAGGTGAGATGGGAAGGCAGAGAGGGTTAGGAGCTGGTTGAATGGACATGGGGAATCAGGAGTGGAAAGGAGGAGTGTGCTGTCACAGTACGGGGAGAGCAATTAAGAGTCACATAACAATGTATGTATAAATTTTTGTATGGGAAAAAATAAAAAAAAAATATCCTCTCTGCAGGAAAATATGGAATTGAATAATGTAAGCAGCCTATGTTTTGTTTTGATGCCAATTAATTTATAAATCAAATATTTGCTAAGAGTCAACTGTGTGCCTGGCATATGCTGGCACAGGAGGTCTAATGAGGAACAGGACAGGCAAACGGAAGAAAGGCAAAAAAATTCTGGAGGCAAAAAAATGCTCTGAGAGCTGAAAACCTGACTGTATTTCCAACCAGAGGTGAATCTTCTATCTTATGAGAAGATCTGGCATAGCAGTGTTTTTAATAGTTAAGCATTTTAATCAACATTGCGCATACCATGAACTGCCAAAAGAATGAACCAATCAGTCTTCCAAGAAATAAGAGCCAGAATGCTCCTTAGAAGCGAGGATGGCGAGACTTTGACTTGCTTTCTTCAGACACGTCATCAGGAAAGACCAATCACTAGAAAAGGACATCATGTTTGATAAAGTAAAGGGTCATCGAAAATCAGGGAGACCTAAATGAGACGGATTGACACAGCAGCCATAACCATGGACTCAGACATACCAAAGTTCATAAAGATGGTACAGGACTGGGCAATATTTTCTTCTGTTATGTATAAGGTCACCACGAGTCAGAGCTGACTTGATGGCAACTAATAACAACAAAACTTATAAAATATTTCTGAAAAGTTAATACAAGAACATGGTAAATGCAAATGGCACAAAAGGGTATATAGGTAAGTAAGTTCCTCTGGCCTTCTACTCCCCACCCTCGACCACATCTCCAGTTCCCTTCCCCAGAGCTAATGCATGAAGCTTACCTGGAGACCTATGTGGGCTCCCAGCCTGCCCCTCTTCCTCCTCAGCCCTAGTGTAAACCTTTGGACCAGAGGGCTCTGGCTTGCTGGACAGAGGGAATACATAGATGTTATATAGTTTATATATAACTGTGTTATATATGGAAGGGAAGAAGGGGGGACAAGATCCCAAAAAAGGCCTTGGGTTTACACATCCAACTAGCCGCTTGCAGTACGGAAGGAAACCATTCCAGACACTGATGTAGATGTTTAGGATACATCAGTGAGTAAGGCAGGCAAAAGTTCCCATACTCTTGCAACCTTACATTCTAACGAGGGCAGAGAGAATGAAAAATAAACACGATAAGTAAATTATAGGGATTAGCAACTCTTCCTTCTTGAGGTGGAGAGCTGGCAAGGGGTGGGCAGATGGGTGCCTGGTGTGAAAACGAGGGTCAAAACATCCTCTTCCCTCACTATTCTTAATTACAAACCAAACAACTTTATGCTGGGAACAGGAAGTCCCTTCTTCCTTTGTCATCTGCAGTGCAAGTGACTTGGGGCCACCATTTATGCTTCTTATATGAATAAACAAACAAACAAACAAAAAAAACCCGTTGCCGTCGAGTCGATTCCAATTCACAGTGACCCTATAGGACAGAGTAGAACTGCCCCATAGGGTTTCCAAGGAGAAGCTGGTGGATTCCAACTGCCGACCTTTCAGTTAGCAGCAGAGCTCTTAAAAACTGGACCACCAGGGCTCTCTTATATGAATAGGATCCCTAACATGTATCCACCACCTGTCTGTCAGTTCGTTGTATGGTGGTGGCTTGCATGTTGCTATTATGCTGGAAGCCGTCATAAGTATTTCAAATACCAGCAGGGTCACCCATGGTGGACAGGTGTCAGTGGAGCTTGTAGACTAAGACAGACTAGAGAGGCCTGACATCTTCTTCCAAATATTAGCTAATGAAAACCCTACAGATCACAACGGAATATTGTCTGATACAGCGCTGGGAGATGAACCTCTAGGTTGGAAGGCACTTAGAATACACAGTGGTTGTACCAACGGGCTCAAGCAGACCAACGATCATGAAGATGGCACAGGACCAGGCAATGCTTCGTTTTCTTGTACATGGGTTGGCATGAGCCGGAGCCAGTTCGACAGCAACTAACAACAAAAACATGAATGCTTTTGTTGCTTGATTCAACAAAAATAAAACAGACCTCAAGACACAGGAACCCCAGAGAATTACCAATATTTCATCTTAAAGCAGTGTTCTGTACCACCAGTTCTAGACAAAGAGCCATTTCTGATTTTCTGTAAAACTTCTCATGGCCAGGGGGTTGGAGATGGGACCCTGGGATGAAAGGAGCAAGAGTATATTCAGTTGTAGTGTCCATTGGCCTTGGGGAGTCTCCTTCTGTTGGAACTCACCTGGTGTGAATCAGGACAAAAACATTCCCCTTTTCCACTATTTTTATTGGCAAACTAAATGGCTTCATGTTAACAAGAGTCAGGGTGGACAGGCAGTCTGCTGGATACAACCAGTTTGCTATCCCAACTGAAATACCCTCATTTAAAAAGAGGGAAAGGGGTTTTTACCCTGTCATAGATTCATATCAAGTCCCACTCGCTGCCATCCTTTAAACACACCTCTTTTCTGATGTAACACTCTCTTTCTGTCTCTCTCCCTATGCATAGTGATGGCTCGGTGGTAGAATTCTCACCTTCCATGCAGAAGAGCAAGGTTCAAGTTCCAGCTAATGCACCTCATGTGCAGACACCATCCGTCAGTGGAGACTTGTGTGCTGCTGTGATGCTGAACAGGTTTCAGAGGAGCTTCCAGACTAAGAGGGACTATGAAGAAGGACCTGGTGATTTACTCCTGAAAATCAGCCAGTGAAAACCTTATGGATCACAACTGTCAGATCTGCAGCTGATCATGCAGATGGCACAGGACCAGGCAGCATTTCATTGCATTGTGCCTGGGGTCACCATGAGTCGGGGGCCAACCCGATAGCAGCTAACAACAACATATATATAACACTCAATATCTGTATGTGTGTGTGTGTGCGTGCGTGTGTGTGTGTGTGTGTGTGTGTGTGTCCACAAATTGCACCCATGATGGAGACCAGAATCGTATTACGTGCTTCCCATACTCCCATTATAGCTGCAGCATAGAATTGCGACATTGAGAAGCTAATACTCCTTCATTGTAGATATACAATCACACATTCGGTTGTCTTAGGTTTATGTAAAAGGTTAAGTTCCATTCAAGTGAGAGAACAACAACAAAAAAAGATGTCGATCTAAAAGAATAAGCACTTGAAGAGTCTATAACGGATTAAATAAAAACACACCAGCAAAGCCTAATAGGGAATGGGCAAAAATGAGCAATTCACAGATTTACACAGTCAATAAATGCATGAAAACGTGCTCATTTGCATGAATAATCAAAGAAGTGGAAATTAAATAATGAAATTTTATTTTTTTTTATTTTTTTTTAATATTTTATTGTA